TCCACAGGGGTAGTACATGCAGCTGCAACAATGGCTCGAATCCTGGCACAGCACAGGATCCCCTGAGCACAGAGCCAAGGGTGCACCCTCCCCCCCTCCCCAGCCCCAGCCCTCCCGAAGGACCATATTCCCCATAGCACTGAAAGTAGTATGAACACCAGCATATGTTTGTGTTAGTTTCTTCTTTCTCCCCAGACACCATGGTGTAATATGATACGGGTCCAATACATTCTTCTTACAAACAAGTGGGGTGAAGTCCGTTTATACGTGCTCATACCTCTGATGCTCTCTTTGCTTGGTTAACATTTTAATAACCTTTTAAAATTAAGCGAGATCCGCAGTAGAACCTGCAGGACAGGGTGCTCCACATCCAACAGTTATACTCTATTATAGGACTACACCAGCAGTGCTCTGGGGTTCTTCTCAGCATGCTGGGGATGAGACACAGGTCTCACGTATGAAGCAGGCGCTCAGGTCCTAGAGCCGTCTCCCCAGGCCCATGTGCAGCACTTTGACCCCCTCAGAATATGAGGAGTGGGGCTGGAGTGATAGCACAGCGGGTGGGGCATTTGCCTTGCACGCGGCCGACCCGGGTTCGATTCCCAGCATCCCATATGGCCCCCCAAGCACGGCCAGGAGTAATTCCTGAGTGCATGAACCAGGAGTAACCCCTCTGCATCACTGCGTGTGACCCCAAAAAAGAAAAAAAGAAAAAAAAAGAATATGGGGAGTAACTTTTTTTTTTAATCCTCTGGCAGGGGGTTTCAGGTATTGGCAGTGCTCAGGAGACCATATGTAGTGCCAGAGATTGAACCAATGTTTTGCAAACTTCCTTGAACTACCATTGCGTTGTGACATATAAACGTCAATCCTACCTGCTTTCATTCTGTGTTTCCGGATAATACTGGTCAATGGGTTCGGAACATAGTGGAGTAATTCAGGATAATCTTCCTGTGTCAAGATCCTTAACCTTTTTGTTGATGTTGTTGTTCTGTGTTTGGGGGCCACAGCACCAGCACTTCGGGCTTATTCATAGCTCTGAGTTCAGATTGCACTCCTGGCTGGCTGGGGTGACCATATGGGGATCAAACAGGGGTCAGCCACACACAAGTCAAGCACCTTACCCAATGTATAATCTTCCTGCCCCATCTTATTTCCAGCCAATGTAACACTCACTGGTTCCAGAAATTAGTACATGGGCATAATTTTCTATTGCTACCATTTAGCCCATAATCATAAAAATATATATTAAGTTCAAATTTTGACTGTGCTCCTTACTCTGTATGTACTCTTGCAGATTAAATATTCTAGAATGTGAAATTTGGATAGTTTCACAGTATGTACAGGTACACACCTGTAAGAATCTTTTCAGATTTTCAGTTGTATGCAACCTTGTTGCTGACTCAAATAATCATTTCAGAGGATAAAATTGGAGGGATGTGCATAAGGGTAGGAAGAAAATCGTGTCTACCTTAGAGCCTAGTCTTTGCTTATGGGAGGGGCACACCTGACAGGGTTCAGGGATTACTCTTGGCTCTGCGCTTGGGGCTCACTCTGGCAGGGCTCCAGGTACCTAGAGGTTGGCCACATGCAAGGCAAGCATTCCACTTGCTGTATATGGGCATGGGGCTTATCATGTTCTCTCTCTCTCTCTCCCCCCTCCCTTCCCCCCTCCCTGTCTTTCTCTCTCCCTCTCCCTCTCCCTCTCCCTCTCCCTCTCCCTCTCCCTGTGTCCCTCTCTCGTTCCCTCTCCTCTCCCTCCTCTTTCTCCTTCCTCTCCTCCCTCCCCCCCCCTCCCGTGGTTCTGCACTCAGGAATTACTCCTGGTGGTGCTCGAGGGACCATGTGGGATGCCAGGGATTGAACCAGGGTCGGCCATGTGCAAGGCAAATGCCCTATCCGCTGTACTATTGTACCAGCCCCTGTTTCCTTTTTTCAAGTTTCTTGTTTTTGGTTCTCCAGGATGACTCCCTGCTCATTGCTCTTAGAGTTACTCTTGGTGGTGTTTGTTCACCAGGACCATGTGGTTCTGGGCCTCCTACGTACAGAGCACATGCACAGTCCTTTGGCGCATTCTCTGTTGGTCCCAGAGTTATGTGATTTAAAAAATCATTCACTTAGGGAGAAACAGTACAGTGATCAAGATCCTTACCTTGCACTTGACCAACCCTGGTTCAATCCCAGCATCACATAGGATTTCCCAGGTTACCATTAGGCGTGGTCCCTGGGCACAGAGTCAGGAGTAAGCCCGGTACGCTTCAGATTTGGCTCAGATTCTCTTACCTCTTACAAAATTTGTTTTAGGCTGGAGAGATAAGTCAGCGGGCCTGGGCTTTTCCCCTCACCCATGTTTCCCCGTCACCCCCAGGAATAACCCCTCACTAGAGGCCAGGAGAAGTCCCTTAGTGCCACTGTGGTGTGGTCCAGAAACAAAAATTGTTTTTAATTAAGTCTGTGGTTCACTAGCAGCAAATGTTTAATTTTGTTTACCTAATTTCTAGGTGCATATCTTTAAGCACCTTGCCTGCCGTCAGGGCGCATTTGCGCTTTCAGGGAATCTGCTCAGAGGACCCGGACACAGTGTTCTGCCAAGAGAAGACAGCTTAATACTTTCTTCCTCTGATAAAATTAGGTGTCTCTTTCCAAAAACAGCATTGCCACTCAGAACAACCACCTTTGGGTCTAAATCTTATTTCCTATTTATAGTTTGGTAGCCCTGGTTTTTAAAAGTCAGAACAAAGTTGAAGTTTCCTCTGCGTCTTGAGCCCAGCACTCCGTGAAACCAGCTCAGGGGATCGCCATCTCTCGGTGTCCCTGGGACTTTCATCACTAACTTCAGTTGGCTTTGACATAGGTTGATAATTTCCTTTGTGGAAGGATTTTTTTTTTTTGCCTTGAGGGGAAACATTCTAGCTTGTTCTGATAATTACTGACAGCATTATTGTGTCTTTGCCAGGCTTCAAAATTTAGTGCATACATTCTCTATTGGGGTTGTTTTGGTTCGTTAGCTTGTTATCAGCTATTGTTTGGGTTAGGTGGATACATATTTTCCCAGCTTTTCTGCAAAATACTTAAGAGAAACATTGTTAAATATTTAGGAACTAAACTTTATTTTCATTATGCTCCTTTATTTTGGTTTATTGACGGGACATCAAACCCCGTGGCCTCACTGAGCTTTAGCCCCAGCCCGATTGTCTCCTTAAAACATTTAAAAATTATTATTACTAATTATTTATTTTGCTTTTTGGGTCACACCCAGTGGTACATAGGGGTTACTCCTGGCTCTGCACTCAGGAATTACTCCTGGCAGTGCTCAGGGGACCATAAGGGATGCTGGGAATCCAACCCAGATTGGCCATGTACAAGGCAAACCCCCTACCCGCTGTGCGATTGCTCAAGCCCCTGTGGTTTTTTTTAAATTTTTTTAAACAGAAAAATTTTTTTAAAAATTTTAAATTTAGATTAAAAAATGAAAACAAGACCAGACAAGAATGATGATGTTGGACCTCCATTTTCATGTTAGAGCGACCTGCAAGCATACTTCTTTGGTATAAAAGTGCAGCGCCTGGCCATGGGAATGCCATTCTGCTCTCTGGCCATAACACTTCCAAAGGAGAGCATCTTCACATCAGTCAGGCTTGGTGGGATTTTGTTACTGTTATTATTACAGGATCTGAGGCAGCAATTTCTATTATCTCGTAAATAGCACACTGTTAAGCTCTTGTCTGTTAAACTCTTGCCAATCATGAAGATATTATTGCTGTGTATATTACAAAAGTCGTAAGATAGGCTCTTATAAGGAAAATCCTCATTCCCCTAAGACTGAGTTTTGCTTGGTCACCTGCAGCCACACAAGAACATTGTTGTGTCCTGTGCAAACTCACATTGCTTCTGTTAGAGAAATTCTAAAGTGCCCCTTCACAAAGAGGTCTGAAACAGCTGATTCAGGGGGTGCGTGGGGGGGGGGGGGGGAGGGAGGGTTTGAAAGTACCACACCCAACAGTGCTTGGGCTTACTCCTGGCTCTGAGCTCCAGGGTCACTCCTGATGATGCTTGATGCGTGGGAACCATATGGGTGCCCGGGCTCAACACTGGGTTGGCCGTGTACAAAGCAAGCATTCTGCCCTCTGTACTGTCTCTCCCGCCCTTATGGTAGTTTTTGAGGTGGAATGACCTTACTGCTTTTATTTTCTTTTTTAAAATCATTTTTTATTTGAAGAACACTCTGGTGCTCAGAGGTTACTCCTGGCATTCTGCTCTGGGGATTGATCCTGGCAGTGTCAGGAGAGTGTTAGAGTATCCCTAAAACCTCCCACATGAGAGCATGTTCACTAGCTTTGAGCTCTGTCACCCTGGTCCTGCCTTGATTTTTTTTTTTTTTTGGTGCTTTTTAGGTCACACCCAGTGATGCACAGGGGTTACTCCTGGCTCATGCACTCAGGAATACTCCTGGCAGTGCTCAGGGAACCATATGGGATGCCGGGAATCGAACCCTGGTCGGCCACGTGCAAGGCAAACACCCTACCCGCTGCGCTATCGCTCCAGCTCCCCTGCCTTGATTTTTGACGATGGCAAGAACTGGGACCCATCCTGCAGCCCAGGGCTCTTCCACTGTACCATTTCTTCCCGCTGTTTGCCTGTTTAAAGAATGTGCATCCTATCCACTGGTCTGTAGAGTCTTCTCTAAGTTTTAGCCTATTTGCTGACTCACGGTGTCCTTCCCGCTTCCTTCTTCAGTCACTTCTGTTGAACGCTTTACGAATGAAAAGTCATGAATACTAACACCCATCCCTCCCCCATCCTATCATCCTCACTAGAGCTTTCTGAGGAAATTAACTGAAAAGGGAGGCTGTTTGCAGTAGAGCTCCAAAAAAGAAGATCCTTCCCCAAGTGTTGGGAAGGTCACAGTTCTTACTACAGGTAGCAGCCTATGATTGGGGAAGGAATGGTGCTTGCCGTCGACTCTGATAACGAGATTCTTTATTGTCATTTCCCCCTAGTATCGTCTAGACTGTCCCAGCCATCCTCTCCTCAGTCAGGCTGCCCATCACCCACCATTCCAGCAGGTAAAGTCATTTCTCCATCACAGAAGCACAGCAAGAAGGCACTAAAGCAGGTAATCACTTAGTCTGTTTACCAGAAGTCTGATCTCTTACATGAAACCTCACACCTCGAGCGCTAACCGGCCTTTTCTTGCAAGGACCCATTTCGGCCCTTCAAGAAGCGATGTCAGAGTTCCCCAGCTTGTTCCTAACTTGCAGGTAGTTCACGAGTAGCTGCTGGCGCTTCCTTCAGCACAGACTGGGCTGATTAGGTAGCTTTGCTCTTTCAGTCTGCCCACTCTTCAGAATCAAATCTGCATGCTTATTACTTTTGTTTTTTAACATGTCACTTTTTTAAAAATATACTGTCCTGGATTTTGCTGTTTTCTTTACAGTCCCTGTAACAGTTTTGGAATCAGGATTGTTTTAATAAGTTTGGAGCTCTTTGCATTTTTTTCCTGGATTTTTGAGAGAATTCTTGAAATTCTCACTTCCTTGAAAGTTCAGTCAATTTTGCTTTTTTGTGATGGGTGTTTTTTGGTCTTTGAGCCATATCCAGTGGTGCTCAGGGTTCAGTTCTCAAAGTTGTTTCTGGCATTACGTGATGCTGGAGAACCTAACCTGAGACCCCTGCGCATTTGCAAGCAGAACCTGCACTCCATCCCATTGAGCTCGCTCGCTCTCTCGGGCCCCAGTTTCATCCTTTTTTGCCCCTCCACCCCCCTTTTCGTCTTTCAAAATTATTTCTCTAGAGTTCAGTTTCACGTACTGCTTCACGTATTCCATGATTTTTCTGCTTTTTTTTAAAGCTGATTTTGGAAGTTTTTCTAGAAAATAGTCCATTTCATCTCATTTTCCTCCCCAACATTGGTGTGTAGCTAGATGTACAGACTATCAATGCTCTTTCTTTGTTCTTCACTGTTATATTGTATCTTTTATCTCTGTGGAACTTATGAAGAGTTCTCTCGTCCGCTTCCATCCCTTCCCCCTTACGTTTACATTTGGAGGTGGGGGGCGGGCCAGGAATCACAACCAGTGGTGCTCTGGGACCATGTGGTGCCCAGGAGTATAACATAGCAAAGCACAGACCCTGTGCTTTGACCCATCTCCTGTTTTCCCATTTGTCTCTATTGGGCTTCCAGAAAATTGGCATTGTTTATTTTTGAAATCCAAATGATCAATACATATAAACACACTAGTGAAACTGGAGAGACAGTGTAGCGCGTAGGGCACTTGCCTTGTATGCAGCAGTCCCAGGTTGGACTCCATATAGCCCCCCAAAGCCCCTTCAGGGGTAATCCCTGAGTGCAGAGTCAGGAGTAAGCCCCTGAGCATAGGTGGGTCTGTCTGCAAAGCAAAACAACAACAACATGCACTAGTAATTAGGTTACCATTGCAATAATGCTTTAGTCTATCATCGAATAGTATAAATAGCTCATTTACAATATTAAACATCAACAAGTATGTGGAAAATTGACTGCAGCTTGTTGGGGGAATAGAAATTACTGTAGTTTTTGTAGATTTTGTAAATTTGAAAGATAAATTGTAAAATGTAAAAAAATAAAGCCAGTATGTATACACCATGAAAGTTCATATTTGTATATAGATACACATGGATACGTACATAGAATTGCAAATTCATACAAATCTTGCATTAAAGTTTGTAATATCAAAAACTTACAAGTAGCCTAATACATATCAGAGAATTCCTTAATAAAAATAGACAAAAATGTTAGACAAAATTTCAAGCTTGCTTTTAATGAACTTGTTCTGTGTGTATGTGTAGACTTAGAAATCTCACTATGTGGGACTGGAGCAATAGCACGGCAGATAGGGCCTTGCACGTAACCGACCCGGGTTTGATTCCCAGCATCCCATATGGTCCCCTGAGCACCACCAGGGGTTAATTCCTGAGTGCAGAGCCAGGAGTAACCCTGTGCATCACTGGGTGTGACCCAAAAGCCAAAAAGGAAGGGAGGGAGGGAGGGAGGGAGGGAGAGAGAGAGAGAAAGAGAAAGAAAGAAAGAAAGAAAGAAAGAAAGAAAGAAAGAAAGAAAGACAGACAGACCTTACTATGTAAATGTTGAATCAGTCACTGAGTTTGGGGCTGGTGAGACAACTCAGAGGTCTGGAACTCACACTTTGCATGCAAGAGGCCTAGATTCTGCCTCCAGCACCACATGGTCTCCTGAGCAACACCATCAGGAGGGAGTTCTGAATGCAGGTTAACCCCAAAACAAAAGTAAGTTTGAATGGGGAGATACTCAGTAATGGAATGCCTGTTGGAGCTCGGGTTTGATTCCCAACACTGTATGGTACCCAGAGCACCAAGCCAGGAGCACCCAGCACAGCAGCTGTGGCCTACAAACTGAAAAGTGCTAATAATTAGGAAAGTTTTATTACAATGTGTAGGTCATAATATAGTTCATAAAAATTTTTGCTTTTTTAAAAATGGAACTTGAAGATGTATATCCACAGATGTAAACATACAAAAACAAACTTCTATGTGTAAGTATGAAACAAACCTCAGTAGCGTAACTTAAGTCAGTGGCTGTGGTTACTTCTGAATCGAAACTAGTGATGTAGGTAATTTGCCCATGAAATTAAGATTCTTTTAAAAATTTAAATGTTGGTCGGAGTAGGAGTACAGCAGGTCGGTATTTGCCTCGAATGCAACGGCCTGGTTTTGGTCCCCAGCACCCCGTTGATTCCCAAGCCCCACCAGAAGTGATCTTTGAGTGCAGAGCCAGGAGTAAACCCTGAGCAACATTGGATGTGCCCCACCCCTACCCCCCCAAAAAAAATTTAGGTCTTGAAAATGTTGAAATCAAATACGCTTTCACTAAAGAATATCCAGAAATGTCATAAAATAAATCACTACATGCCTGGGTGTTCTGTACTCACTTGATTTTTCTTAGGTCTTTGGAAAATGTTAGGAAGCATAAGAGAGATTTGGGCGGGGGTGGGAGAGGCACCCCTGGGGCGGTGCTCAGGTGCGGTTACAGCCCTGTGTCAGGATTGAACTTAGACCTGCTGTAAAGCGTGCTCGCCAGCCCCTTGAGCTGTCTCTGGCCCCCAAGGTAGTTCATTTCTATAGAAAGAAGGCGAGTGTTTTCTTAAATATTGTTAGTTAATTCAGATAGTGTGTACTATTTCTTTTCTATTCCTATATTACATGTGTAATAATTCTAGAACTCAAACATATTTTCTCTATGGAAAATTAAAACAATTATTACTTTACTCTTTTAACCATCAAAAATAGGTTGGTTTTTTTCTGTTTTAAAACTGTGTTAGAAATAAAGTTTTTCAACTACTGAGGAAGGGAAAAGCAATAATTTCTTGAATTGGGAACTTATGGTATTCCGTTTCTAGCATGTATCTAAATCTATTTGACCGCAGCGTAAATAGATGGCATTAAATAGTTTTATTATGTTTTGTATAACCTGGTGATTATGAGCAAGAAATGACTACCCTGGACTGCCTCCCAGGGAGCCCGAGGAACATTTTCAGGAGAGATTGCCTGCAGAGAGCGAGAAGCTGTATTCCACAGTCGGGACTGTGTTCTGTGCTCCTGTCTCACCTGTCCTAAGAGGGGTGTGTGAGGAGCCGGAGAGAAAGTGTAGGGGTCTGTCCCTGTCTGATGCCCGCCATGTGGATGGACCTGAGCATAGTCAGGAGTAAGCCTTGAGCTCCAGCGGGTGTGGCCAAAAAAAAAAAAACCAGAAAAAGAAACCAAAAAAAAAATAGAGTTGGGTGAAGGTACACCAAGCCCTTGATTCTGTGAGTTGCTTTTTTCTCAGTGACAGCTAGACCCAGGAGCTCCATGTGGGCGGCATGTCTACACAGCTTGACCAGAGATGTACATGCATGTTAAACAGAAGGAAACGATTTTCTGAAGAGCGAACGGGGAATAAGAAGCCAGTTAATCCACAATTTTCTATATAAAACTGCAATTTAGCAATGCCGTACATACACAGACTTTCAGCTTTTTCCTGAAGTGTAGCTTTATTTTCTTATTTATTTAGTTTTTTGGAGGGGGAGTTAATTTTGAGTCAAATGTGCCTTTGATAGTGGGGACATTAATTCAGTCTGTTTGCTCTCAGTAGTATTGGCTTTTCTATTCTATTAACTAATACCATTATAGAAATAAAAAGATTATGGAATATTAAAACCTACACAGTTCTTAGAATTTAGAATGAAAAAATTTCTATTCTGTTTTCTTTTTCTCTTAGCGTTGCTAAGATAGGGTTGTTAGGGTCTTCTTGCTCTTAAAACAAGAACTCAGAGTTATCCAGACTTACATAAATTTAGTATTTACATTTCTAATAAAGTGTATGCAGTGGTACTCTTCGTGGAGTTGGACTTAAAAATCTGTTTCCAGAATGATAAAACAGAATTTGCTACCACCACAAGAATGGGAAGTACGTGATCCCTGAGCACAGAGCCAGGAGTAAGCTCTGAGCATCGCTGGTTATGCACCCCCCAAAAATAAAATAAAACAAAAATTCTTTAGGATTATTTAGACTTTTAATTGATAATTGGTTAAGATTTTTTTCTTTGAGTGTAATAAGACTGGATTTTTTGTTGTTGTTTTAATCACTGAAAAAGAAATTATTGAGCACTGATTTGTTCTGTTTCTTACAGTGAGTTTTCTTTTCATAGGCTTTAAAACAGCAGCAGCAGAAGAAGCAGCAGCAGCAGCAGCAATGCAGGCCGAGTATGTCACTCTCCTCCAACCAGCATCTTGCCCTCAAACCTGTCAGAGCAGCCAGCGACACTGCACCTGCCAAACCTGGTAGGCAGTTTGGGGGGCTTCTTGACGGGACCCTGATTTTCTGTTATTCTTGTGTAGTTTTTCTAAGTTTGCATATGCTATTTATTTTTAAATTACTCTACCCTTTTACTGCCAAAATACCAATGTAAATCCTTGTAGAATAAATGGAATCGATGATGCAATTTCTCTAGTACAGCAGGCAAGGTGCTTACCTGGTGGGCAGCTGATCTCTGTTTGCTCCCTTCCGAGTATATATTTCCCCGAGCAATGCTGCTAGTGATCCCTGAGCAGAGGCAGGAGTTAGACCTGAGCATGGCCAGATGTGGCCTAGAAAAGAAAAGAAAATGCACAATGGCAGGCTGAAAGATCACCTAGTGAGCACAGACTTCGCATGCAGGAAGTAGCTTCTGTCTCTGCCACCACATGGTCCCCTGAGCAGAGAGCCTGGAGTCGCACTGCTGGTTTGGGCCAAAACCCACAATGTAGTTGCTCTGTGGGACTTGACTGTAAGAATGAGAGTAATGTCTGACTTCAAAATTGTCTAGCCAAATTATCAGGAACCTTAGAAAGCAGATGTTTCCAAGATACTCAAAATGGACCATCCTCACTAGTTTCCTTGTAAAAATGGGTTTTTCCTAAAAAATACCTGCTATCTGCCCACTAGTTACTCCCACGGGCCTTTGGAGTTTTGGTTGTTGTTACTGATTTTATGGTTTTATTTCATTGTAATTGAGGAACTAGGGTCAGAGTGGTGTTAATGGTCATGCTTTCAGTGTGCACGGTCGCTCCTCCACCACCAGAGTGCCGCACACCCTCCACCACTGTCCCCACGGCCCCGAGTCCTCCACCCCTTTGCCCCAACTCGCTCCCCCACCAGTTGGAAACTAGTTTCGTTTTTAATCTCAACTGGTCTAGATATTACTGGTGTTGTATTTATGGGCCTGTCAGACTTAAACTGTGCCCTCGATTTTTACCCCGTCCCTTTCCTTTGTTGTGTTGTTGCAGTGACTGGGGAATCACACACCTGGCCACGGCGTGCCAGGGTCAGTCAGCAGAGCTCCTCCAGCTGAGCTCAGCGCTTGTGGGCAGCGCCCGGGCTCCAGCCCTGGCCCCGTGCTTGCATGGCAGCCACGGAGCCATCCCCAGCTCCCATTTTTCTGGCATTTTTGCCACTTTGTACTTTTGTTAGGAGGAAGTTTACTACCGGGAATAACTTAATGTGCTGACAGGATAGAAGTGGTTTTGTTGTGCTTTTTTGGCACTTAATTCTTAGACACTCCTTTTAATTTGCATTGAAGGATATGATCATTTGACTCGTTGGTTTCTGTCTAATTTCAGTGTCTTTGGTCTCTCTTCCCCCCTAGCAGTCTGGGAAGGAAAGCAGTGTGATGGACAGTCGAGCAACCCTCAGAACGCCAACTCCAGCTTTTCTTCTTCCGTTAAAGTGGAGAATCCTTTGCTGGGCCTGGGGAAGAAGTCGTTCCAGAGGTCCGACAGGCTCCACACAAGTCAGTTCCTTTCTAAAGTCTTCACGTCTTTCACCTCAGGCTGTTTAAGGCGTTTGAAATACATGGACTGTAATTGTTCCAAACTAAATGTTTTTCCACCCCAACCCTCACCACCTTTATGTATTTTCCCCCCTTTTTATTTAAACATCGTGTTCGTGATGATTTGTTTCAGGCATTCGGTATTCCCACACCAGTCCCACCACCGCTGGCACCTTCCCTCCACCACTGTCTCCATTTTCCCACCCACTGCTCAGCCTACCTCCATAGATGGCCCACAGTAGCGCTGTAGCACTGTCCTCCCATTGGTCATTGCTTTTTCTCGAGTTGGCACCAGTACCGTCTCCATTGTGAGACTTGTTACTGTTTTTGGCATATCGAATACGTCACGGGGAGCTTGCCAGGCTTTGCCATGAGAGCGGAATACTCTTGGTAGCTCCGCGGGCTCTCCAAGAGGGACGGAGGAATCGAACCCAGGTTGGCTGAGTGCAAGGCAAACAACCTATCTGCTCTGCTGTTGCTCCGGCCCACAACAGTTTATTTTATGTTGCTTATTACCACTAAATGGCTAATGCAGTGATCAAAAAATATTTTCATAGAGGAGAATCTGTGAAGATTGTTATATTTCGAATTGCGGATGTTAGTCCATGTCTGAGGGTTTACTAAGCTGTTGTTGCAAGCTAAGCCTTCTCTGTTAATGTTTCATTCATTGAGTTTGTTTGGTTCATAATAGTGCGCTGCCAGGAGTGATTCCTGAGTGCAAATTCAGATATGACCCCTGACCTGAAAATTGCCAGTTGGCTTGGTGGGGGTGGAGAGAGAGAGGGAGAGAGGCTTCTATATTATTTGCTTGGCCGACAATACTACAGCAGCTTTGGGCATGAGTGTGGCTGTTAGGGCTTTGGTAAGGCCGGAGCTGGCGTGCTCCCCTTCCCAAGATTGCCCTGGAGGTCTCAGCTGAGAACAGTTACCTGATAAATTTTTGCAGCTAGTTGATAACTGTCAAAATTTCTGAGTCTCGGGAACAGGGCAGGTAGATGAGTTTACATGGTGGCAGGGGTCGATGTGAACATGGCTCCCAGGGCTTCTGAAAGTACAGGGAGGTGGGGGCAGGTAGCCCATTCAGCCTGATAATTGTTTCAAACTTTTTTTTTTAATCAAACTTATTTTTTAAATATCCATCAGCCATTTGACTTAGCCAAGGACATGATTTGAGTTCCATAGAAAACACGTGAAGGTGGCTTGTTTTAGGTGGGGATGGATTATAATTGCTTGTAAGAAATAAAGCATGGATAGAACTTCATTTGCTACCCTCGTTCACTTGCATCTTTTATCTACATACTATTTATTCTGTCCCTCTATACCAATCTGTGTTTCAGACTAAGATGTCATCAGTCATTTTGTGGTTTCTTCTGGACAGTGGGCTGTTTCGGCCAGCGTTTCTCACCTTTCACTTCTAACTGTACAGAAAAGTAGGACTTGTCAGTAAGCACTACAGACTGAACCTCTTTTCCCTGCTCAAGAATTAGACATTTCATAGATAGTGGAGATGCCTCACTCTAGCGGGAGCCAGGAAGTTTATTTGAGGGTCAAAGTAAACACAAAGACCCCCAGTATCCCTGGCACCCCATCTGGTCCCCCAGGCCAACCAGGAGTGATCCCTGAGCACAGAGCCAGGAGCAGCCAGGAATAAGTCCACACACTGCCAGGTGTGGATCAAAAGCAAAACACAACAAAACACTGTAGGACTGTCACTGTCCTCCTGTTGTTCATATTTTTGCTTGAGCGGGCACCAGTAACATCTCCATTGTGAGACTTGTTACTGTTTTTGGCATATCGAATACGCCACGGGGAGCTTGCCAGGCTCTGCCATGCAGGCGGGATACTCTCGGTAGCTTGCCTGACTCTCCGAGAGGGACAGAGGAATCGAACCTGGGTTGGCCACGTACAAGGCAAACACCCTACACACTGTGTTTATCACTCTCCAGCCCAACAAAACAACAGCAGCAAAAAGATTTTAGACTGAGATGGGTTAATTTGAGAATACAGGAAAAACAGATAAAATACTTCACCTTTTATCAAAAACAAATGAGAAAGATTTATACTTCATTGGAAACCCAAAAGGAGAAAGTTAAGATAATAGGTGAGATAGAGGGACAGAAGTTTACAAGTTTTACAACTTGTAAAGAAATGGCAGTCATTTTCCAGGATGGATAGAAACCACAAACTTAAAGACTAGAAGTATAACATGTTCCAACCAGAATAAAGTAATCCATACTTAGCTCAGCAAAACTGCTCGTCAAAGACAAAAAGCGTAAGAACACTTGGAGAATAGCTGTGAGGAAGGGAAAGACTTCAAGGGAGGACCAGTAATAGTGAGCTTCTTACAACAAAGGAGTCAAACAGAGTGGTGATATCAGCAAGTGATGAGAGAAACTAACCACCAGCACTACATGGTCTGTGTGCAGGGCTGTTCCTCAGGAATAAGCATGGAACAATGGCATTTATAGAGAAAACAACAAAGGCATTTACTACTAGGAGACCTGCTCTTAACCAGGTTTACCCACACCCCCTTCTTTATGGGCTGTACACGACAGTGCTCAGGGCTTACTCCTGGTTCATAATCATCCTAAGTGAGGTAATAAAGAGTCTGGAAACTGGAGGCTGGAGTGATAGCACAGTGGGTAGGGCATTTGCCTTACACGCGGCCGACCCAGGTTCGATTTCCAGCATCCCATATGGTCCCCTGAGCACCGCCAGGAGCAATTCTTGAGTACAGAGCCAGGAGTCACTCCTGTGCATCGCCAGGTGTGACCCAAAAAAGGGAGGGGGGGGGAAAGGAAGTTGGAAACTGGGGTTTATGGGTAGGTGTTGAAAACTGGTGCACTCAAGTGACCAGAATGATAGTACAGTGGGTAGGGCGTTTGCCTTGCATGCAGCCAACCCAGGTTTGATTCCCGATACCCCAGATGGTAACCCAAGCCCACGAGGAATAATCTCTAAGAACAGAGCGAGGAGTAACCCATGAGCATTGCCAGGTGTGGCCCGCAAAACTGGTGAGCTCCGTAAAGTAGGACCAAGGGTCAAGGAGACAGGTTGAAGACCAGCAGACATATCTCGCTTCACGGAAAGCTCAGGTTTGGTCTCCTGAACCCCACTAGGAGGAATCCCCTGGAGCAAAGTAGGGAAGATAAATGAAGCCATGAGGGTAAATCCCCCCTCCCCCCAGTGAACAAGAGGATTCCTGATTTCCACACAGGTGTTCGACCCAGTGCAAGGGTCGACTGGGTGCAAGGGAAACACCCTACCCACTGTACTATCACTTTCGTCCCCAAAATCTTTTTTTTTAATTGAATTTACAATGAGCATACAATGTTCCAACGCCAGTCTCTTATCAGTGTCCTCTTCCCTCCACCAGTGTCTTTTAGTAGTTCCCTCACACCCCACCGCCTGCTTCTGTGGAAAGCAACTTTTTTTTCCTTTTAGGTACTGTACCGCCCTGTTACTGGTAGGGTTTCATGCGTAACACTTTTCCAACTGCCAGCATCCCCTGCTAAAGACCTGTTCTCATGTTCTTCGTCTCTATTGCCTTTGGATATTTGTTCATCTCTGTGTTTCTTTATATCATTCTGTCCTTCTCCTGGACTGAGTTTACTTAACCTGATACTCTAATACTCTCGAGATTCACACACATAGCAGCAAGTTGCTTCTTTATTTTGCCACAAAATATTCCATTATGTGGATGTACCGTATTTCCTTCACTTAGCCGTCTCTTCTTGGATACTTCGGATGTTTCCGGGTTTTGGCTGTTTGTGGGTAGTGCTGCAAGAAGCAAATAGGTATAGATGTCTTTTCTGCATTGTATTTTTGGGCCCTTGAAGTATATTCTAAGAAGTGGGATTGCTGGATCATATGGAATTCCTAGTTTTTTGAGGATTTTTCTCACTGTTTTCCCAAAGGGCTAGGTCAGTTGACAATTCCCATTGGCCTAAAATCTTTTCCTTTTTCTTTTCCTTTTCTTTTTTTTTTAAATCTTTTGGGTCACCCCCAAAAGGGTCACTACTCGCTTTGCTCTCAGGAATTACTCCTGGCGGTGCTCAGGGGATCATGTGGGGTGCTGGGAATCAAATCCAGGTCAGCCATATGCAAGGCAGCCTACCAGCTATGCTGTAGCTTCAGCGTCCTCCTAAAATCTTTTATTGTTGGTGTCTGCCTTCTGCTTTGTCAGGATAATTTGAAATGTTGTAGTGAACTTAACTTGTAGAAATCCCCTGGACCTAACTTGGGGAAATCTTTTCCTCTTAAAAGAGTTTACTGGGGCTGGAGCGATAGCACAATGGGTAGGGCGTTTGCCTTGCACATGGCTGACCCAGGTTCGATTCCCAGCATCCCGTATAGTCCCCTGAGCACCACTGGTTGTGACCTAAAAAGCCAAAAAAAAAAAAGTTTTGTTTTGCTTTAATCAAGAGTAGGGGGCTACCCACACAGGTTTTGTGTAGCTTTGTGCAAATATTTCTTTTTTGTGTGTACATTTTGCTGTAGGTCCTAAAATATTCTTCAAGGCTTGCAAATCATATTTACATTTTAGTCTGGTTTCTAATTTTTTGCCATTTATGTTTTAAACCTTTGGGTACTTGCCAATCTTTCAAAATAATGCTATCTTCTGATCATGCTTTTCCCTCCCCCATCCCCCATATGTGGCCATACTTGGCTGTACCCAGGGCTCTGTGTCTTGGCTCTGTGTTCAGGGATCACTCCTGGTGATTCTCCTGGAGTGTGTGCAGTACCAGGGGTCGCACCAGTATCAGCATGAAGGCCTTACCGTGTACTATGCATTCTGCCCCATTCTCTGCCTCTTGCCATGCCGGCTCTGTACCCAGCGCCCCACGTGTACAGGGAGCTTTGCTCTGCGCTGAGGGCTCCCCACCCCACTCCACCCCCCCAGGTAATCTTCCACTGAACAGATTTCTGAAATGGTTAGTCATAGTACTGTGAGCAAATAAAAATTGTTTCAATTTTTTATGGAAGCATGGTTTATAACTTGGAGTTTTTTAATTTTTAGTCACTATCATTTATCATAAACTTCCTCGTTGCCGCAAACATAAAACATTTTTATCACATAAGGTTCTCATTTGTAGGCTTTATGTTTTGTTGTTTTCAAAGCAGGTGAAATAAATATTTGGGGGCCAGACCCAACAGGGCTTCGAGCTTTTGCCTCTGGCTCTGTGCTATGGTATTACTCCTGATAGGGCTTATGGGCTCTTATGTGATACAAGGGATCAATCCAGGTTGGCAGCATGCAAGGCAAACGCCCTACCCACCGTGCCTGCTCTCCAGCCTCAAGTTACAGATTTCTGTTCTTTATGAACAAAACTTGCCTTGCTAGTCTTTGTCGGTGTTTTGCAGAGCCATCAGTGTTGCTGCATCCCAGTGTGACAGTTACAGTCCATCTGTGGTGGTTATGTGACCCCGTGCATTCACCCTCACACACAGAACGTGGCTGACGTCCAGGTGATTCTTTTCCCCTCTCTCTCTAGGGCAGATGAAGAGAACAAAGTGTGCGGATATCGATGTGGAGACCCCTGACTCCATTCTGGTGAATACAAATCTTCGCGCGCTGATCAACAAACACACGTTCTCGGGCCTCCCTGGAGACTGTCAGCAGCGGCTGCTTCTGCTCCTCCCAGAGGTAGACCGGCAGGTGAGCGTCCACGGGCATCTGGACTCCTGCCCCATACGCTCCGTGAAATGTTTATTTTTTAATTTTTTTACCCTTTCTTTGTATTCCTTTTCTTTTTCTGCTGTATTTTAAAAATAGCTTTGTAGGTGCTCTTGCAAAGAAGTGGTCTTAAGAGGTAAGGCTATATATTATGTGGGACTGGAGAGAAAGTATGTAGGGGGTTAAGGTGCCTCCCTTGCTTGTGGGAGACCCACGTTTGGTCACTTAGTTCAAGCTGTTAGTGCACCGCCAGGAGTGATCTCCAAACACAAAACCAGTAGTAAGCCCTGAGCACTGGCAAGTGGGAAGTATAAAAATGAATTTATTATGGAAGTGTTCTTAATAGGTTGGCCGTTGAAGACTTGGAACCCCATGTGGATCACACTTTTTCGTTTGGTTTGTTTTGACCGCACCAGGCAATGTTCAAGGCAGTATACATGGGATCCAACCTGGGTCAGCCCTGTGCTCTGGCCATTTCTTTTTTTTTTTTTCCCCTTTTTTAAAAAATTATAACTACCCCCACCCCCTATCCAAGCCCTCCCCCTGCCTCTGTAGCAGACAATTTCCCCCATACTCTCTCACTACTTCTGGGCATTATATGCTCGAATTTTCCCACCACCATTCATGCCAGAGGCAGATGCTAGGTAATTTGTTTTTTATTGCTCATTATGAATATCACGAGAGGTCGCTTCTGGAATTCTAAAATTGTAAATGATTGGGGTCCAGAGACATCTCTGTAGGGAGCTAATCCATTTTGAGATTCATTTGGGAGTCTCTGGATCTGATGCCCTGAGATGGTGCCCGGAGGCAGATCGCGGGTGTGACAGCTGGGATCCCAAGCCGGTGGGGAGCCGGGAAGGGGTGGCCTATCCACGAGGCCTGGAGTCTTAGTCCTGGGACCCACAGAACTGGGTTTTGCTTCTGGATGCTCATGGCCGCTGGGGTTTCATGTGGAGCCGGTGGAGGGGGCACAACTGCTCCGTCTGAGGTGCCCCTGTGGAATGGCTCAGTGTGGGGTCCGGAGAGATCTCTGGTGAGCTGCTGTCTTCCAGGATTCACTGCTGTAGCTCTCTTCTTTTTTTTTTAAATTGAGATTGTTTCGGCCCCAAGACCTCTAATTACTTGCTTTATCAGATAAAATTGTGTGGGTGGTCATGCGAGCCTGGCAAACTCCCTGTGGTGTATTCGATGTGCCAGAAACAGTAACGACAACCGGTCTCATTTCCCTGACCCTGAAACAGCCTCCAATCATTGGGAAAAGATGAGTAAGAAGAGGCTGCTAAAATCTCAGGGCTGGGGCTGGAGCGATAGCACAGCAGGTAGGGCGTTTGCCTTTCATGTGGCCGACCCAGGTTTGATCCCCAGCATCCCGTATGGTCCCCCAAGCACAGCCAGGAGTAATTCCTGAGTGCATGAGTTAGGAGTAACCCCTGTGCATCGCCGAGTGTGACCCAAAAACAAAAACAAAATCTCAGGGCTGGGAGGAATAGAGATATTACTGGTGCCCGCTGGAGTAATTTGACCATCAGCGGGATGACAGTGACAGTGATACAGTGATTTTTTTTAATTGAATCAGTGAGAGAGAGCATCACAAAGCTGTTCATGATTCAGTTTCAGTCATGTATCAAATGTATCAACGTTATACATTATGTTGATATATTGATACAATGTATCAGTGCCCATCCCATCACCAGTATAATTTCCTAGCACCAATGTCCCCAGTTTCCCTCCCACCTAACCCCCCAAATCCCGCCTCTCTAAGCCTGCCTCTATAGCAGGCATCTCTCCCCGCCCCCACCTCTCCCACTGTCTTTCTCTCCCCTCTTCCTGTTATCATTTACAGTAGAGATGCTGAAAGGTTATCATGTAGATTCTTTTACCTACTTTTAATATTCAGTTCTTGTCTAGAGTGATCATTTCCAATTATTGTTGTCATACTGGACCCTCCTCTATCTTGGTTTTTTTTTTTTTTCTTTTTGGATCACACCTGGCAATGCACAGGGGTCACTGATCGGATGCTGGGATCGAACACAGGTCGGCCATGTGCAAGGCAAACGCCATACCTGCTATTGCTCCAGCCCCTTTCTGTTTTGAGGCTACAGCCAGTGGTGCTCAGGGCTTAGTCCTGGCTCTATTTAGTTATTTAATCTGCCTGTAAATGGATGAACATGGAGAGCGTCATGATGACTAAAATGGGTCAGACGGAGAGGGACAGATACAGAATGACTGCATTCATTAAAAAATTTTAAAAAAGTATGAGACTAATATCCAAGGCAAGGGAAAACAGAGACCAAGAGGACTGGTCAATAGTTGGAAATTACAAGTATGTGGGGGGCGGGGGGCGGGGGGCGTGAAGGGTAGTTAAGATAGATGAGGGTCAGGGCCGGAGCGACAGCACAGCGGGTAGATTGTTTGCCTTGCACACAGCTGATCCAGGTTCAATTCCCAGCGTCCCATATACTAAGCACCGCCAGGGGTAATTCCTGAGTGTCAAGCCAGGAATAACCCCTGTGCATTGCCAGGTGTAACACAAAAAAAGCAAAAAACAAAAAAAAAATGGATAGCCACACACAATTTTAGAATCAAAGAGCAACTTCAAATTTACCTCTTTGTCTCCCTGCAGATCCATTTTGTTAGGTTTTGGGTTTGAAGCAGGCAGGGACTGCTCCTGGTTCTTTGTTCATTATCGCTCCCAGCCGTGCTTGGGGGGCCCTGTGGGGCTGGGTATGAACCCAGGCTTCCCTCTTGTGGAGCCTGCACTCTGGCCCTGGGGCTCTCTCTGGCCCCTGGGGCTCAAACATTCAGGCGTAGTGATTCACAGAGTTGTTGATAAGAGTTTAAGACATTCAGTGTTCCAGCTCCAAAGCTGCCAACAGTGTCAACTTGACCCATCTTTGCCACTTAAGGAAAAGAACAGTAATCTGAGAATTATTGGCCTTTATAGGGAATATAGAATCAAAATTCACTGTTGGGGTGTTTATGTAGGTAAATGCTAGGATTAAGGACTAAAAATCCTATTTCAGCATCTGGAATAGAGAACTCTATTTAATGAAATAAAAGGATAAGTAGGGGAATGGATTAAGCCTCTCTCTCCAGATAGGCCTGTCATGTATACAGTACAAGTAAAAGATTGTCCAAAAAGCATACCTGTGGTTAAAAGCCCAGCTTTTTTTTTTTTTTTTAATAGTTGGCACTCTTTGGAATGGGTTGACTTGTGATGAAAATCCTATCACTGGATCACGTAAGCAAAAGTTGAATAACTTGCCCTTTGGGAAAATGTGTCAGCCTGCTGTCAGTGTTTTAGACTCAGCAGTAGACAAGCTGCAGCCCAGAGGGCAGAGTTTTGCTTGTTCCCGGTTTGTATGAGCCCTGGTGTCGTGCAGCCACTCCCATGCCTGTACAGAGTGTGGCTCCCTTCCTGCCGCAGTGGCAGGTGAATGGCTGCAGAAGTGCACTTGGCACCTGAAGCCACCAAGCCATCTTCCGGGCCTTCATATTTCAGTTTTTTATCCATTTAGAATTGGGGGGGGGTGTTCTTTTGGGGAGAGGGTTGGGCCTCACCAGCCATACTGTGAGGTTGCTCCTGGCTCTGCACTCAGGGATCACCCCTGGGGGGCTTGGGGCCTTATAGATGCTGAGGATTGAACTTGGGTTGGCCACGTGCAAGGCACTCCAGTCCCTGAGATTTTTCAACCTTATGTTCTCCTAAATAGTCTGTTGTACCGGCCCCACCATCTGTACAGCCATATTTGTTCTTACTGTTTATAAAACCACTTTTCCTCCTGTATTCTGTTTACATGCATTATGTATGTTCTGCACTTTATATCCTTTTCATTCTGTGTGTGCTAGTAATAGTGTTGTTTACTTTTTTAAAATTTTGGTGAAGCAAGATAGTTTTTATTGATATTTATTTAGAAAGATGTGAGGAAAAGGGAGGCACAGTATAGTGGGTAGGGCACTTGGTTTGCATGGGGCCATCCTGGGTTCACATAACAGCATCCCATATAGTACCCCGAGCATCACCCAGAGGGATTTCTGAATGTAGAACCAGGATTAACCCTTGAGCGTTGCTCAGTATGGCCCCAAAACAAAGATGTGACAGAGGGAAAGGGAGATGTGTTCAAGAGAGAACACAGGCTTCTCGAGAGTGGAAATAGGCAGACAAACATAGCGACAGGTAGACAAGATACATGTTCAAAGGAGATCAGGGGCTTGGAGAGGAAGCCATAGTAATGGTGTTTTGCTTGCAGTGGCTTTTTTTGGGGTGTTTAATAATTAGATAGGCAATTCCCTCCTTTCAGTTTTTTCATATAAACTTTAAGTCAATTTTATCTGAAAATTCTGCACAGGAGTCGAATAGGATAATTTAATTGAGAGGAATTAAATTTTCACTTTTTCTTCCATCCAGTCTTTTTTTCAGGGGGGTATACCTGGTGATACTCAGAGCTCACACTTTCTCAGTGCTCTAAGATCACTTCTGGTGGGGCTAGGAGGCTCATCATAGGAGGAGGTGCTGGGGATTGAACCTGGGTTGGCCACATGCATGGCAAGCATCGTACCATTTCTCTCCCTCCTCCACCCTGTGTTTTTCAGATCTTGGTTTTTATGTCATTTGATAACATATACAGATTTAATTCAATCTGGAGAGGTTGGAGAGATAGTCTAGGGGTTAAGGCTCTTATGCTTAATATGCAGCCTATCCTGGTTCACTTCCCGGAGCTGTATCAGCTTCCCCTGAGCACTACCAGGAACGATCCCTGAACACAGAGCCCTTAACATGTAACAGTTTGCTCTGAATAATATGCAGAGTATTTTCACATGATAATAAAAATAGCCAGGGGCTGGAGCGATAGCACAGCGGGTAGAGTGTTTGCCTTGCACGCAGCCAACCCGGGTTCGATTTGCAGCATCCCATATGGTCCCCCAAGCACCGCCAGGAGCAATTCCTGAGTGCATGAGCCAGGAGTAACCCCTGTGCATCGCTGGGTGTGACCCAAAAAGCAAGACAAAATAATAATAAAAAAATTTTTTTTAGAAATAAAATTAGCCATAGAAAAAGAAGCAGTTAATAGGGATTGCATTTTGTAAGGCAGCAGATGTAAATATTCAGTATTTGTACAGGGGCTGGAGCAATAACACAGCAGGTAGGGCGTTTGCCTTGCACATGGCCAGCCCAGGTTCGATTCCCAGCATCCCATATGGTCCCCCAAGCACCGCCAGGAGTGATTCCTGAGTGTATGAACCAGGAGTAACTCCTGTGCATTGCCAAGTGTGCCCAAAAATGCAAAAAAAAAAAAAAAAAAGATGCATAAGAGTCTAGCAGTGCAGGTAGAGGGATTCTTGTTTGATTTTGGTTTGTAGGCCATGCCCATTGGTGCTTAGAGGCTACTCCCAGCTTGGTGCTCAGGATTTGCTCCCTGTGGTGTTTAGAGAAACATGTGGTACCAGGAATGGAGCCTGGGCCTCCCACATGTGAAGCAGACATTGGCACTAAAATCCTCTGTCACCTTGTCACTGGTTGCCTGTTTGGATTTGGGTGTTTTGGCTTTTGGTTTGTTTGGGGGTTGCTGTGCAGGGAGGGATGTTTCAGGCTCCAGGGCTCCTTTGTAATGCTGGGGATTTGGAGCAGGTTGTGGCCCCTGTGGCTGCATCCATAAAGTACATTATCTTCTGTGCTGTCTCTCAGGCCCCCCTAGTCACTGTTCTTTTTTTTTTTTTGAGTTTTAAAACTTTCATTCTTTTTTGATACTATTTTCCCGTATACTTTATAAACCCCGTAGTTTACAAAGTTCATAATGATTCATTTTACAAGCATTCAATATCCCACCACTGATCTCACCACCATTACACCCTCCCCCCACCATTGTCTCCACTTTTCCCAATCACCCCATTAGCCTGCCTTCATAGTAGGTCCTCAGTAATTTATTTTATGTTATCAATAATTTGCTAACAGAATGATCAAAAAATGTTTCCTTAGAAGATAGTTCATGAAGATTGTTGTATTTCACCTTGGAGCCATTAAGTACTTGTATAAAAGATTATCAAGATGTTATAGGGTAAGCCTTCTGTATTTATATTTTGTGAATCAAGATTGGTTGCCTTCTATGTTACATCCCATCCAATCTGATGTACTACTCTTGATTTATCAGTATTGTGGAGTTTGAGATGTTACGTGGCTGCAAATGCGGCCACGCACTCTAGCAAGTGCAGAAAAAAAAATTTTTTTAAGTGCAAAAAATTTTAAACATGGTGAAACAGCTGGAGTTAAAATTTTTAACAGGCCTGCAGCTTTGAGGCATGTGTGTGACTGCCGGGCTTCCAGAAGTACAGGGTGTTGAGGGGAGGTAGCCCATTCCTGACTCCCTGAAAGCCTGGAGGTTTCAGTCACAAAACCTGCATACCGAGTTATTCAGCGTATTAATTTCTACCTGGGGCCCGTTCCAAGCAGTGGAGTCCAGCCAGGAACATGGTGGCAATTGTGGAATGTGGAGGTTTTCAGCTGCAGGGGCTCTATTTGTAATGCTGGGGCTCACCCGCCCCCCATCCCCATCCCAAGGTGTCCTGGGAGACTCGCCCAGTCTCAGTTCTAAGAAACAAATAATAAACCGCTTAGAGGACACCTTTTACATACGTACTTACATTTTTTTTCAGATAATATTTCGACTTTAAATCAGTGAGAGGGGAGCTGGAGCGATAGCACAGCGGGTAGGGCATTTGCCTTGCATGCGGCCGACCTGGGTTCGATTCCCAGCATCCCAGGTGGTCCTGCGAGCACCGCCAGAAGTAACCCCTGTGCATTGCCGGGTGTGATCCAAAAAAAGAGAAAAAAATTTAAAAAGAAAAGGAAAATAAATCAGTTAGAGAAATAATTAGAAGAAAGAAGGGTGGTGATATACACTTGAAATTTGTAGGGAAAAAGTGATTATTAAGATAACACCATCCTGGACTGTAGTCATGATTCTGTAAAATGAAATGTACACACATTCTTGCCTCCACAGGAAGTGAAAAGCCGGAGACAGTATAGGGATAAGGCACTTGCGAGGCATGTGGCCAGCCCCAGTTCACTCTGCACCATATGCTTTCCTGAGCACTGCCCTGGGCACCACTGGGTTTGGCCCAGTGCCCTCCCCAAAGTAAATGAAAAGTATAAAGGAATTGAAGTTAATTCCAGGTGATTCCTTTAGCTTTTATTTTGTTTATTTTATTGGGGGCGGGCACTTGGAGGTACTCAGGTTTACTTCTGGCTCTCTGCTCTGGGATCACTCCTGCAGTGTTTGGGGGACCCTATGTAAAGCTGGGGCTCAAACCCGGGTTGGCCACATGCAAGGCAGATATCCCCCTGCCTATGTGGTCCTGTCATTCGGCCTCATTTTTGGTTTATTCTTTGACCCAGGTTGGGCCAGATGGTCTGATGAAGTTAAATGGTTCTGCCCTCAACAATGAGTTCTTCACGTCAGCAGCCCAGGGCTGGAAGGAAAGGCTCTCAGAAGGTAAGCGTTCTGCCAGTGTTTCTCCCACTCTTGGTTGTCCTGGGAGCCCAGGAGGACATCCTCGAACCTGGGGCTCTTCTGGGCATTGGGGCCATTTTAGAAGTGGAGGACAGCGATCCTCTGAGCCAACCCCTTTAAGCTAGAGCCTCACAGTGTATTTATACTTACTGATCATTTGCATTGCGAAGATTGCCATCTGTGGGGTTTTTTTTTGTTGTTTTTTGGAAAGCCCACTAGTTTCCAGGGACTGGACCTGAGAGGTAGTCCAACTGCTAGGGTGTTTGTTTGTCTTGCATGCAGCTGACCCAGGAGCACTTCTCTCCTCCACCTCTTGTGGTCTCCTGAGTCCCACCAGGAGTGATCCCTGAGTCCAGAGCCAGGAGTAAGCCCTGAGCACTGGTGGGTATGGCCCCAAAATACCACAAAAATAAATTGCAGGAGTTTGGGGTTGAAGTCTGACAGCCAGGTTCCCTTTCCCTGGCTGCTAGATCTGTGTTAGCAGCGTTTTCTTTCCTTCTTACACAGGACGGGCTTAAATCTCCGCCGGGAGAGGCGCGGGCTGGAGCACATGCCTTGCGTGTAGGCACAGTCCCCGGGAACGCATGTTCCACTGACTTTTCAAATAAGAGGAGTGCATCCCTCTCAAAAAACATCCTCTAGTCTTGTCTTCCTTTCACCGCCCCTCCTTTTTTTTTCTTAGTTGTCATGCTGAAATCAAACCCAGTAGCTCACACATGAGACTGCGTATTGCCCCTGTGTTTCTCTCCAGAATTCCGCTTTCTGTTGCTTATTCTGTGACAACGTGGTAGTTTGGGGTCCTGGGAACATTGAAATAATTTTTACTGTATAAATTAGCAGCAATAGCATTCCCAGGCCCCCAGAATAACTGAGCAAAGCTTACCCATTGGAATGTTCTGCGTTCACATAGCAGGAGCTTGCAAATAGCACATTCAGCATGGCTGTTCGTGGTGTGTTGAAGTGTCTTGTTGCTCAGGTACTGTACTGGTACAGATTCCTGAACAATTAGAAAAAATGTTGGCTCTAAAATAGTTCCCTGCCATTTCATCAGAATCTCAAATGTCTTTCTGCAGGACACATTAAAGTTACAAAACACAGTTTGCCTTTGAGAAATGACTTTTAAAATAATGAAATGCCCAATGGTGTTTTTGCCCAGGAGCACAGGACTGTTTTCTGGTGGGAAAGATATGCAGATTCCGGGTCAGCGCTAAAAGGCACCTGTGGGGAGAATAATGACCAGGACAGCTGGACGGTGCTGGACTGCATGGTTCGGTCCATGTGGACAGCCCTGAGAAGCATTCCCTGGGTGTCTGGGGATTTCTGTTACCCTCATGTGGTACTCTTCTGACCCCTGTGTGAGTTGTGATTTGAAAATACTTAAAAGTTGCAAATGGTGGCCCAAGTGATACTACAGCAGGTTAGACCTTGCACATGGCCACCCTGGTTCATTCCCGGGTACTGCATTTGGTCCCCCAAGAATCACCAGGAGTGATCCCTGAGTCCAGAGCCAGGAGTACGCCCTGAACACAGCTTGGGGTGTGCCAGAAACAAAAACCAAACAAAAAATTGCAAACGTTTTCCTATTGAATGTCTTTTTCGGGGGGGTGTACATTGCAGGTGAGTTCACACCTGAGATGCAGGTGAGAATTCGACAAGAGATTGAGAAGGAGAAAAAAGTGGAGCCATGGAAAGAACAATTCTTTGAAAGCTACTATGGCCAGAGGTAATATCAAAACAGTTTTTATAAAGCAAATGTTAAATCCTACATAGATGTCATGTGAAGGTTTATCTCGTTGCCTTGCCAGAAAGTTTAGTCCACTGTTTCCCTCTGTATTTTCACTGGTTCTTCATCCAGATTTTGTCATTTTAAGAATCTCATGGGTTTGGGTAGTACAGGGATGAGTCCATGACTTGCATGCGATCAACCTGTTTTGGATCACTGGTACACGTGGACCTCCGGGCATAGTCCTAGGCGCCCCTGAGCCCGACTGAGTATGGCCCTGGAGGCCTTCAGTTACCACAAGGGGTGACCTGGGTAATTCCTATAACTGCATCATTGGGCATTAAACCTCTGGCCAAGAATCGTTGGAGAGGTCCCCAGGCCTCCTGAGCAGTCTTGGGAGCCCCACTGCTCCCAGTCTAAGGGACACATCACTGGATGACTACTGATAAGTCACCTTGTTTGCCACTGTGGGCAGGATGGTTTCTTTCTAAACAATTACTACTTGTTTACTGTAAGTTTACATTACAGAGTTTTAGGGGTCAGTTTCACCACTGAATTTCTAGTGCTCTGCATTCAGCATCACCCAGATTTTTTTAAAAATCTTGAGTTAGAGTCCATTTTTTTTAAAAATCCATATTGGCTGTTTTGTAAGTTCTGTAAATTTTTTTTTTAATAGCAGCTAATTACTTCACAATTTGATGCCTTAACTAGAATCAGTAGAAGTTCCTGGACCTCCTACGCTGTGGACGACTATACCCATGTGGATAAACAGACTGTCCTTCAGGGAGGCCCAGTGGGAAAGGAATTCACCAGGGACTGTGGTCTAAATTGAAAACTCGAACAAATCCAAGTGAAATCTTAATGGGAATGTTTTAATAGGCACAATTGGAGCTGGGTCTTTGAGACAGATCTTGACCCCCAGTGTCTTAACTTGTTTGTCTGCATTCCTTCGTTTGCCACTTGTAACCACAGCCTGAGAACTAAAAACTTACTTCCTTGTCTCCTTGTTAGTATCTGAGCCAGGATTTGAATCCAGGCACTCCTATTCCAGACTTTTCATCAGTAATCAGAGCTTAGATAAAAATGAGTCTAGATACAGCCTACCCGGGCTCGCCTGGACACTGCAGTCTACCAATAACTCACAGTGCCATCTTTGACACAGGTCATTTCTAAACCCCCAATATCTCTTCCACTTTCTAGTTCGGGCCTGAGCCTTGAGGAGTCCGAGAAATTGACAGCTTCTCCCAGTGATCCCAAAGTCAAGCAGAGTCCAGCTGAGCCTCTGAAACCGCTGCTTCCTCCAGAGGCCCCGCCGGGCAGTGTAGTCCCGGTAACCCCCCAGTTCCAGGCTAAAGAAGAATTTGTGCAGATGCCATCACCGTTCACAAAAGAAGAGCCCGAAAGCCCAGTGAAGGGGCAGCCAAGCGTGTCCCCGTGCCCAGAACCCCTGCCTCTCCCCGCTAGCAATACAAAGGAGCTGACCGTTCTTCCCGTCAAGTGCCCAAAGGATGAGCAACTCTTGGAGCAGAAGCCAGTTGCCTCTGCTGAACAGGAGACTGAAAAGGAGAATCTTCTCACCAGAACCTCTGGTGGTGACAAAAATGAGAGCCAAGAAGCTTTAGTGACACCTCCAGAGGAACCCAAGAGTCCGGGAACAGAAAAAGCAGCCCTCAAGACCAGTGGAGAAACAGTTCCCCTGGAAGCCGCCATGAAAGAGCCTGCCCCAGTTCCCGCTGAGCACAGCCCCGAAAGCCTCAAGCGGAAGTCCTCTCTCTCCCAAGAAGAGGTTCCTGTGGGGTGGGAGAAGAGACCCCGCGTCGCCGAGAATCCTGTCGTCGAGAATCGCCAGCAGCCGCCGCCATTTCCAATCTTGCCGCAGCCCTTTCTTCCCAGAGGGGACAAGGTCCAGGTGCGAAAAGTACCACCTCTCAAGGTAAGCCAGGGGAAGACTGGACAAGAGTCCTGGTCTGTTGCAGTTCCAGGAAGTTTCACGGCACTTGGGATACTCTACTGCAGGAGCTGCTCCCTCTGTTTTGGAGCACTTGTAAATGAAAGCCAGTCATGAGCAGGCGTTTACAACTGCATCCCTGTAGATGTTTATGGGGGGTTGAATAAATAAGGTACCTGGCTTTCTAGTGAAAACCCCTACCACAGCCCCTGCTAAACATTGCAGTTTGTCCTGACAGAGTAAGTCTGTGAAGAAGTGTGAGGCGGCCATTCGGTGACCCTGGCACCTTCTCCAGAGCCTGTTCCGTGATGCTTTGGTCCTTTCCTTGCAGCCGTTATTAATAGGATGTTCTGTGTTTCTAGAACCACTTTGGTTCCCATCCTTTTTAAAGAAGTGTCTCTGGCTGCCATCGCTCACCTCTGTTATTGGAGGGACACTAGGAAGATGACCAAGGCCTGCCGAGTGCTGCTGTTTAGATGTCATTAACTTCGTTGCTACCTTGCAAATCTTCAAATTCCTAGAGCAGGGTCTCTATCCTAGCTTCAAAGAAATTATCTTGGCAGCATTGAACCCTTCAGAGCCCAAGCACAATTCTAGTATTTGGGCTTGCACCTAATGCCATTCTTTTTTGTTGTTTTGAATTTTTGCAGTTCTTTCATTTCTTTAATTCATAGTAAATATTGAAACTTTTTGTAAATACTACACTACACTTGATCTTAGCCAAAAGGCCGAGAAGCGATACGGGCTGGAGCGATAGCACAGCGGGTAGGGCGTTCGCCTTACACGCGGCCAACATGGCCGACCCGAGTTCGATTCCTCCGCCCCTCTCGGAGAGCCCGGCAAGCTACCGAGAGTATTGGATATGCCAGATACAGTAACAACAAAGTCTCCAATGGAGACGTTACTGGGCCCGCTCGAGCAAATCGACGATCAACGGGAGGGCCTTTACCTTTACCTTTTACCTTTTGTAAATAAGAGCTAGGAAGGTATAATACACAGGGTAGAGCACTTGCCTTGCACATAGCTTCCCTAGATTGCTATCCCTGGCACCCCATATTGTCCCCAGAGCCCACCAGGAGTGATCCCTGAAGAGAGCCAGGAATAAATCCTAGCTAGCATGGTCCCGTGGCTCAAAACACCTCCCATTCCCCAATTTATGATAATGTATTATAAAGAGTATTTCGTGGGTTTCTTTTTTGTTGTTGTTTTTATTTGTTTGGGTTTATTTGTTTGTTGCCTGTTTGTTCTCAGGGATCACTCCTGGTGAAACTTGGGAAACCACGTGGGTGGGTGCCAAGGATCAAACCCCGGTGGGTGGTATGCAAAACAGCCCACTATTTATCCTGCACATGGTTAAGAGTATTGAATCAATGTAATGCACTATGTGACTTTTTATTTTACCACTAAAAATTTGCTGTCCTTTTTATTTTTTTTTCTTTCTGGTTTTGGGGGCCACACTCAGATGCTTGGGTGCTGTTCCTGGGTGGGCTCCCAGATGCCCTGGGGATCAGTGGTCCCTGGGATCAACCGGAACCTGGTTATGCAGTGCCTGCACTCCAGTTCTTGAGCTGTCTCCTGGCACTCCCCTCAAAGTGTGGTTGCAGAACCCATGTGGAATCTTCCTCATCTCCCCTTTGGGGTTTTTTATTGTTTGTTTGTTTTTTGCTTTTTGGGTCACACCTGGCGATGCACAGGGGTTACTCCTGGTACTGTACTCAGGAATCACCCCTGGCAGTGCTCGGGGGACCATACGGGATGCTGGGAATCGAACCCGGGTCAGCCGCGTGCAAGGCAAACGCCCTTGATGCTATTGATCCATCCCCTCCCCTTTGTTTTAACACTGCTTTTCTACCGCATGCTCTTGCCAGGGTCTCATTTTATGGAAGCCCTTCTCTTCTCTAAAAATACTAGGAATCTTACTGTATTACTTACTATATTACTCCATTTTTTTCTTCCTTCCTTACCACCATCAGCTGCTAAAAACAGATTTTCTGCTATAGGTTTCTTTAACACTCTCTTACTTCAGACTTCATTTCAAGTCCCACTATCTTTGACAAAGGTTAAGGTAATTTACAGTGAAATAAAACTTTTTTTAAATAAAGTTTAAATGGAAGAAGAAAATGAACTTCTGTATATGTTGCATATGGACATGCATGTAAAATATACATGTATGTGCAATCATAGTTATATGCATTCTTATAATACATGCATTGCTGTGATTTAATGTGTGTATAGAGAGAAAGACAGAAATATAGACAACTCAAACTCACATTTGGTTTTCATTCAGTATACATTAAAAAAAAGTACTCCTTTGCTATACCAGGGTATTTTTTAGTGCCTGCACAGCTTTGAGTAGGTTCATACTTAAAAAGATAATATGCCATCTCACTCTACGTAGATGGAAGATACGGCTATTTTCATAAATACCTAAGGCGTTAATTTCAACTATTAAGATCTTTTCATCATTTTTAAATGATTATTTCTTTTTGGGCCACAGCTGGCTGTGCTCAGGGGTTGCCCCTGGCTCTGCACTCAGGTTTCACTCCTGACGGCTCTCGGAGCCATACGGAGTGCCGGGGATCAGCCCAAGGTCTGCCGCTCAGAAGGCAAATGTGACTCTCCCCTTCTCCCTCTCCCCGTTGCTCCAGCCCTGTGTGTCAGTTAATTGCGGCATATTTTCAGCCATTGTGATTGATACCAAGTCTTGTGCTAAACATGTTGTTGCTCTTAAGATGATTCTCGGGGGCTGGAGCGATCGCTCAGTGGGCAGGGTACTATGGTTGACTGGTTTGACGCGGATTCGAGCCCCTCACCACATAGAGTCAGCGGAGCCCACCAGGAGTGATCCCTGAGAACAGAGCCAGGAGTCAGCCCCAAGCGGGGCTTACAACTCCAGAGATAGTGCCAGCGTTAAGGCACTTGCCATGCACGCAGTCTCAGTTCAGATCCCCTGCACGGCCTGTGTCCCCAGGGCACCAGTGAGTGTGGCCCAAACCCCAAAAGGGAAGAAAGCCCTCTGGCCTGGGGGAGGATACCAGAGTCCCAGCACTCCCCTGGTCTGACTCCTGACACCATGCGCCCCCCTCCCTGTCTTCCCTCCTTTCCTTTCCATACACAGCAAACACTCTGCCGTTGCTGGCCATATCTTTATTCTGTTGACTTTGATCTCTAGTTTCATCCTTTGTTCTTTTAGAATTGCCTTGGACGTATTACCAAGGGGCAGCCCTTGCTTCTCTTTCTGTGGACAGCTCCCAGGGTTCAGTGTCACTTGGACCCGGGGTAGATTGCAGAGGCAGGTCAGGTGTGACACCGTGGGCCCTGACCACTCTCTTGCGCATCCTATTCAAACAAACTTGCCCGCTCCATGAATCGGGCTGAGTTTTTCTCTGTGATGATCATAGATGAACTCAGCCTCAGGCCCCATCTTTTGTCACCAGTGTGTGGCGTTTGGCCCTCTTATAAATGTCGGTGTTCCGGGTGGGATTCCCTGGCACCCAAGCCTGCCAGGCATGAGCCCTGGCCACAGAATGTCAGTGTTGGTGAAGGCCAGTTCTTAGGAGTGAAAGCTCAGCCCTGTTCTCCCTGCTTCTTTCAGATCCCGTTCTCCAAGATCTCCCCCCTGCCGTTTCCTGCATCGCAGGTCTCTCCCAGGGCTCGTTTTCCAATCGCCATCACTAGTCCTAACAGAACCGGAGCCAGAACCCTTGCCGACATCAAAGCAAAAGCCCAGCTGGTCAAAGCACAGAGGGCTGCAGCCGCCGCCGCCGCCGCTGCTGCCGCCGCCGCCTCTGTTGGAGGGACCATCCCTGGACCTGGCCCCGGGGGCGGAGCAGGCCCCGGGGATGGCGGGCAGAGACTGGCCGCTGGAGGAGGGAGCCTGGACACCGCCAGGGTCGGGGCAGCTGGACCGGGTGCCGCCCTGGAACTGGCAGGAGCTGGAAGCCGGGGAGGTACGAGAGAGCTTCTACCCGGTGGCCCCCAGTCCCAACCCCCATCCCAGACCCAGTCCCCAGTCCTGGCACCGCCTCCTCGTGGCCTTGGAGCACAACTACAGCAAACCCCCTCAGTGCCTCCTGCCCCTGCCAGCGGGGGAGCCGCCGCCAGTGGCCCCTCTCCGGCCCACACGCACACCCCCCCTTCAGCAGGGCCCGGGAACAATGACAAACTGAGTCCAGCCCAGGCCGCAGCCCTCGAGGCCCCGCTCAGCCACCCCGCAGGCCCTGGGAACTGCTGGCAGGAGAAAGCGCCTTCCCCGAGCACTCCCGCCCTGCCCCCTCAGTGCGCTGCGGAGGCAGCTAGTCAGAATGTCCCCACCCCTTGGGCCTCAGCAGACACAAGTGCCAGTGCTTCGGTGGTGCCGGCCCCCTCCCCTGTGGCGTCTTCACTAACTGCAGCCACTTTAGAAAAGCTTCCGGGGCCACAGGGCAATGCCACACCGGCGCCTACTGCTGCCGCGCCAGCCTCAAGCACTTTGCCAGCAGCTTCCAGCCTTAAAACTCCAGGAGCCACTTCCCACCCCAATGGACCCGCGTCCAGGCCAAGCTCCAGTATCCCTGCCAACAACCCTTTGGTCACGCAGCTGCTCCAGGGCAAAGATGTTCCCCTGGAGCAGATCCTGCCGAAACCACTCACCAAAGTCGAAATGAAAACTGTTCCACTGACCCCAAAAGAGGAGAGGGGGCTGGGCGCGCCCACAGGCCCCCGCGGCACGGAGAGCAGCGCCAGGGAGGAGGGGCAGGAGAGGCCGGTCCAGCAGCCGGGTCACACCGTGCAGAGTCAGCAGCTTCCCCAGATGCCCAGGCCCCTGCAGGTCTTCTCAGGTAAGGATCTTAGGGACCCCGGCATTGACTCGCCCCAGTACCAAGAAGGACTGAACAAAACCACCCACGACCAGATGCTCCAGACACTCATCCAGAGGGTTCGGAGGCAGAATGTTCTCCCCTTGGCCCAGCCCTCCCAGTTCAACTTCCCCCACTCAGGTTTCCAGCCCGAAGACATCTCCACCAGCCAGAGGTTCATGCTGGGCTTCGCTGGCAGAAGGACCTCCAGGCCTGCAATGGCAGGTCACTACTTACTCAACATCTCCACCTACGGCCGGGGCCCCGAGAGCTTCCGGAGGACCCAGTCCATCACCTCCGAAGAGCGTTTCTGTCTCAGCAGCCCCAGCGAGCATCTGAAAATGGGCTCGACGGACGGTAAACAGACAGCGGGAGACAGCGGCAGCAACCGAGACGAGGACACCGATGACGGCAGCGCTGGTGAGGACCCGGGCACAGAGGAACTCCCAACCGCCCAGAGCGCTGGCCATTGCGAGGCCAGCTCAGGACCCCTCAGCCGAATCCCCCTTGCCGCCCATGATGGCCTAGCTAGGAAGACTGTGAAGGCGGAGACCCCAGGGCCCGAGCAAGCCCCTTTAAGCAAGGAGAGTTACCTGTTTCCCAGAGACCCCGCGGTGGATGGGAAAACGCTGGCCCGAGATTTTATCCAGGCGGCCCAGAAGCAGATCGCCCAGGCCGCGAGGGCCAGGCCAGCGCTGGGCAGCCCTGACCTCTTCGGCGCTGCCCAGCCGCTCCCCGCTGACAGCCCCACCCAGCAGCCCCTCCTGCTCCCGCCCCTGCGGACCCCGCAGCTCTATGGAAGCCCCACCCAGCTCGGGCCCGGCTACCGGGGCCTGATTAATGTGTCCACCTCATCGGACCTGGATCAGAGCTCAGCCGTGGCGGCAGGGCTGCCCGACAGTAGCCAGGTGGCCAGCAACGTGGGTGATGTCATGTCCTTCTCTGTGACTGTCACCACCATCCCGGCGGGCCCAGCTCTGAACCCCAGCAGCCACGGCCAGCCCCTCCCCGTGCAGGCCTTCGCCGAGGAGAACAGCATCGAGGACTCCCCCGCGAAGTGCTACTGCCGCCTCAAAGCCATGATCATGTGTAAGGGCTGCGGGGCCTTCTGCCACGACGACTGCATCGGGCCCTCCAAGCTCTGCGTCTCCTGCCTGGTGGTTCGGTAACACGCCGGGGAGAGGCAGTGAGGCAGGGGCAGGGGATGGGTTTGGGGAAACGACAGAAATAAACCTGGAGGTCACTCTTCTCATAAGAGACAGGTGTCACTTCATTGGGATCAGTGCGTGGGCTCTCTCGGAGGGGCAGAGCGCCTCGTAGAGTTAAATCTGAGTCAGCAAGACGGGGTAGATTTGTGACAAGTTTGCACTTACAAAATCATGTAAATAGGTCACATCTTGTTCTAACCTTCTTTCTCCGAGTGTTTAGGTTAATAATGTGCTACGTTGAGTTCAGATTTCTGTTCCCCTTCGTGCAACTCTTGAGAAGCCGTGCGTGGTGAGCGAGCAGACAAGCTCCCCATCTCCGTCAGTTCTTCAGAGGTCGGGCAAAGGATGGTCTTGGGTCTGGAGGTCTGACCGTGTCCGCTGTGGGGTCTTGACACTCTGACAGCTGCTCTCCTCGAGGGAGGACTCAGGCTTGGTGGGGTTGGGGTTCAGCCGTACCCCTCCCTTCCCCTAGGCAGACTCGGCTGCCATCCTGGTAAGGTGTTCATGCCACAGGTAGTATCTCAGTCTCCCGGGAACTCCCCTCCCGGGTTTAGTTCTGGGCTCGCCTTTCTGTGCCCAGCAGTCTACTCGGGACGTGATATCCCTGCTGTTCCCTCACCCATGCCCATGCCCGCAGATAGGGCACGAGGTCTGGGAAGATCTGGGGCTACCCGTTCCGCTGCCAGTGTGGCAGCAGTGCCAGCCATCTCTCCGGGTACTTCCACCAGGCTGGCAAACAGCTGGAAGATTTCCACGGAAGGCGTTGGTGATGGGGGTGATTTGAAGTCACTTCATTGCGGGGAGTAGCAGTGGAAGCAGCTGCGTGCAGACAACTCTGGAAAACCACTTTAACACTAGAGACAGGGAGCCTCTCTTTTCCCCTCTTTTCTTCTGTGGCCACAGAGCTCCCTGCTGCCCGTTTGCCCACTCTTTTAACCCTCTGGCTGTCAGGCATCTGAAAAGAATGAAGCCGTCTTATTTGTGTCTTGGAACACGCTCCTGTGCTCACACATAACCACGCAGAAAAAGTCCCGTTTCCTGGTGTAGGAATTAGGCTCTGGGTTGGATCTGTGCACTAGGAACTTGGGGTTACGAGGGAGCTGCATTCAGTGTTGGACAGAATATCTAGAAAGGAAGAGAAATTAGCTTCAAAGTGTTAATATTTTTTGTCTGCCTATATTTGTCATAAAGAACATTCATTCTACAGTTTTACCAGGATTTGATCATTGAGGAAATCGGAGTTGTCAGTGTACATCATTTGCATATTAGTTTTCGGTCTTTCGATGTTTGGGCAGCCTGGTACAGTCAGAGCTGTGCTTGATAATCAGGATGTCAGCTTCCAGGATAGAGAACAGTTTGAACTTGCGATTGAAGTCACATTCCAGATGAGGAGAAAGTAGTTGGTTAATAATCTTTGCTTTGTCTCATTTCTGCACCTCATCCCTCCCCTCGCCGCAGACCCCTGTAATCTTTGAAATCCCAGGCTTTGTTTCTGGTTTTTGTGACCCAAGGCAAATATAGGATTAATACTTGTGTTTTCCTTTCAACCAAGGCAATTTGATGCCTTCCAACTTCCCCTTTTCTCCCCCCAGCACACACATAGCTAAGAGGTATGCAGGGATCCAAGGATAAAGGAGTAAGGTTTCCAGAAGCAAGTAGGCATCAAACCACGCTTCTAGTTCAAGATTCCCGTGCCCTGTGCAACAACAAGGGGTTTACAAGACCCAGTGCAGGGGACCCCTCCTGGTGCCCAGGCTGGTCTTCGTGCCATGACTTGAGCATTTGGAACCGCTGATCCCCTGCTAAGCTGTAATTACCAGTATGGAGTGATCAGCGTGATTTTCCTTCTTAGTACCTTCGCTTTCGAAAGAAGTCTCCTCCCCGGCTCCCTGAGGGTGAGGCATTCCAGGCGAGTCAGCGGGGGATTTTCAAGCCCATCTTGAAAGCGAATATTGTGCCTCTTCGTCTTGACCCAGGCTTTTGCAGGCCAGTCCTGAGCATTCTGTCTGCCCGATTCTCTTCATACGCAATACCTGACTGATCAAATGCTTGTGTTTATTCATGCCCTAAGACAAATTGTTGTCTAGGTCTGCTGTCTTGCTTTTGACCCAAATGAGAGAATCGTTAGATTCTCCTAGCTTGGTAGTAAATCGAAGACCATCCACATAGCAGTTTGTTGCAAAATCTTGGTTTTAAGCAGGAAGCTATTCATCTCATACAAGGTGGGGAATGGTTTGTTTTAACCTTAAAAACAAGAGGGAGCTTTTTTATCTTTTTTTTTTTTTTTAACGAAGCAGTAAGAACCAGGAGCCCTTTATTAGCATATGGCATTCCAGTACCTTCCAGGCAGTTCCTTCTATCTTAAGTTTCAGCGCTCCTTTGCTTTTCAGGAAGTTCTCGGCTCGTTTCTTAATATTTAGTTGCACTATTTCCAGCAGCTCCTCAGGCCTTAGGTCTGAACCTGGGCCCCAAGGCAGCCTTCAGAGATGTCCCCACTCTGCTGGGCAGCGCCTTGGAGCCTGCGTTTATGATTGCGTGCCCCAGAAGCCTTCTGGCATAGAAGGCTTCCCCAAATTGAAAAATAATTTTTCTTGATTAAAAATTTTCATTCTTGGGGCTAGAAGAGCATATGGCGGGTAAGGCATTTGCCTTGCATGTGCCTGGCCCAGACTCGATCCCCGGCATCTCATAGGGTCCCCTGAGCACCACCAGGAGTGATTCCTGAGTGCAGAGCCAGGAGTAACCTCTGAGTACTGCCAGAGGTACCCACCTCCCACCCCCCACCTCCCCCCCCCCAAAAAAAAAAACCAAAAAATTTTTTCATTCTGTTCAAATAAAGCCAAATAAGCTGAGGGTGGGGGGCGCTGGCCCTCTTTCCGTTCCGGACCCCCTGTGCTTGGCTAGCTGGATCTCCCAGGTGACATCAAAGGATAAGAAAGAGCTGGCCAAGGAAGGGGCACTTTTTCTTATAGCTGAGAAGTATACAGAAGTGTCATGGCCTCAGAAAACACGTATGCAGATGTTTGGGGGACTATCTCATGTAAATCCGTACTAGCCAAAGGATGACCTCACTGCCTTCCAGGTGAAGGTACAATTCACACATACTAATGACTTGACAGTTCAACGTCCGTATTGCTTCTGATTGCCTTTCTCCACCCTATCCTTAAGGAGCTCTTTGGTGAAAATATTTGTTAGACAAGGGTCTTCTCTGGTCATTGCGCCGCTATTTATTTCCAGAACTCACGGCCAGTGAGCAGCGCCAGGCCCGCGGTTCCCTGTTGGTGTTGGTCACTGAGCGCTCGAGCGGCACAGGGCACTTAGCAGCTCATCTCAGACCAGTCCAAAGAGACTCTGCGGAACGTGGCGCCAGGCAGGGGTTCTACCAAGTCTACGTGCCCACTGCCAGGACAGTGGGCCAGACCGTTCCTAAAGTTGAAGTACAAGCTTCATAGATTCTTGGTTACTTTATTTTTTTTAATGCTTTACATTTGATACAACTATTAAAAGAAATCAATTTTAAAAATAGCTTTCCAATAATATATTTTAAGTAATATATATTTTAATATCTATGTAAAAAAAAGCAACGGCAGAAGACTGAACTTCTCCTCTGGTATGCTTAATGCAGGGCCTCACTGTTAAGGCGCAGATTATTTCAAAGGAAGTTATGCTAGAGATGCTCAGATTATTTCCAATAAATGCAATAAGGGGGAGAGTTTCGGAGTTTTATTTTTCATTTTGAAAAGAAAGTTGACACAGGCTATTTTTTCCCTTCTGGCTACAAGGTTTGTACAGACTGGTTTGGGAAATGCTAAATTTTGTGTCTTTTGCCTTTTGAAAGAAACTGTTAACATTGGAATTTGAGGGTATGTACAGAGAAGTTGGTGTCAGCACCATTTAAAAAGTCCTATTTTTTCACAGATATAGAGAAATCATTTTACATAAGAATTTTAAGTATTTGCAATAAATATATGTATATAGATTGTATGTATTCATATATTCTTATTTTTCATTTTATTATTAAGTAAAAGATAATTAAAGTGAAAATAAAAACCTTGCAGTTTTTGGTGAATCTTGAGCTCTGGCGTACCTGTGAGATGGTGTGGGAAGGGATCCGGGCTGGTGCCTTACTCTGGGATCACTTGGAGGGTTGGGAAATCAGGGAGTGGGTTTCTTCCAGAACTCCAGAGAAAATACTCAGTTCTCCTGAGTCATCTGTTTTCACATTCAGACTGGTTTGTCTGCTCTAACTACAAGGGGAGCCACAGTATATCTCCTCACTGCCCCCCCACCCCCCAATGGTTTGCTTCACAAAGAATGGTAAAACTGTCGGGGTTTGGAGGCGGAGGGGAGCAGGCTTCCCAGCAGGACCTTCTGTTAGCGGGCGGACACTGCTAACCCTTCGGGCCTCTGCCCGTGAAGGAATAATCTCACAGAGATAATAAAATATTGAGCTTCCCACTTCCTCCCTGGGGAGTGGGTCTCCTAACACTTTCCTGATGTTCTTCCCGTTGGGTCAGGAGCAGCTGAAGAACTTGGTTTCTGTCTTGCTAATGCCATTTTGAGGACTGAGCTCTGCATCAGAAGATGAATTGCCTGTACCGAGATGATTGGAATCCTGCAGTCCCAGAGAAAGCATTTTGTGGTGGTTGGGTTTGGGATCTGTTTGAGGAACAAAATGATACTTAGCCTTATTGATTCCTGAACTTATGAGAAAAGTTACTGAACTCAGTTTCAAGAATGTGTCTTAGTGACTTGTGAAACTGATTTGGCGTCCTTTTTTGCGCTTTACTAGTCCTTCCCATCCCATAAATGCTCGGCTGTATCTTAACTATTTGCAAAAATTAAAATTTCAAACATCAGAGTTGTCCAGAGACATTGAATATCTATAGTTTAAGCATCCAAGAGAACATAGCACTTGAAATCTACAGAAAAATACCATTTTTAAAAGAAATTTCTTTAGTCTCAGGGACTGTCAGCATCCCCTAATTTCCATACTCAAGAGTTAATGGATGAAGATGAAATAGGTTAATGGCTCCAAATTGGTAGGTGACGTTTACAAAGACAGTCCCTATTCCGAGTGCATATTTTATCCTTATTTAAATGAACCTCCTGCCGTGTGAGAGGTCAAATCCACATTGAGGTAACTGTCAGAGCCTAAAGGAATGGTTGCTGGACAGTTGAACGAGCAGCAGTGTACTGGGGCAGGTTCCTCTTGGTCCCCAGCTTCCCTTGATTTACCTCACAGTCTTAGAATCTGTGTTATGGCTGTTACGT